AATCATTTGCACCAGGGAAACTCGTTCCATTCAAGGTCCATTCAGAGGGCTTCTCCGAAAGGCCCTTGGTAGAGTAGCGTTTGAACATGGTGTAGGAAAAAACTTTCAAATGTTAAAAACCCGATCACCAAAGACGGTCACAGAAACAGAAACGCCTGGAGGGGGGAAACGCGTCACCTTTAGAAGAACGGAAGCAATTAAATTGTCAGAAGCGCTTCACTTCATAAAATTGTATCCCACTTTTAACAGAAACGAAAAACAACCTATAGTATTTGCTGTGCCAATTGGACAAAGACTTGAAGAATTTAAAGCCACCATTCAACAGGACGAGTCTTTTTCACTAACACGCACGGAAGGGAATAGGGATCTGTCTAATCTCCAGGAACAAATTAAAATACTGTCTGATCCCAATATGAAGGGTCCCTTAAAACAAACGATAAGAGACGAGTCTTCGCGAGCATTAGATTCAGACTTAAGTAGTCAGCCTGATTTTGAGGGAGTATTAAGAAGTAAAGACCCAACAGGAACAGTAAGCTCAAAAGAAAGGGATATCGCCTTTAATGCAGCAGTAGATGTTTTGATTGCCGTTGCCATAAACGATGTAGAATTGGCCGGATTAAATCCAGCCGATCTCGTGGTGGAGATAGCCAGAGATGTTTCTTCAAAAATAAAACAAGTTAAGGAAAACCTACAAAACGAGATAGCCGCGGCAAAAGAAACGCAATTGAAATTTGAAGTTACTGAGAGTATGCTAAAAAGCAGTACGGAGGCTCTTGACGAGTGGAATAAATTGAAGACCCTTGACGCAGCAAAACCAGGTACAAAAATTATCGAAGAGGAAACTGTTGGTACAGGAGATAAAGAGCATTTAAAAGTGACAATCCACGTAACAAATAAGGTATTGCTCAAAGAAATATTGAAGTTGTTACAATATTATCCTGAAATATATAAAAGCCAAGGAAGAAAACAAACGAGGTTCGAAGTTGTAATTGGCGGAGAAACAAGGAAATTTCGTTTAAGTATGGCACCAAGAGGAGTAAACCAAATACTGGTACATACCAATGATGATGATTGGCCTGGTACTACTAAAAGAGGTAGAAAAGGTAAAGGTGGTCTTTGGGCTCCTGATTACGACACAATGATAGATGGCGTTTTTAGTAAATTTCCTGACCACGAAAAGCTAGCGAAAGCTATCCGTGAGGCCGTCTACAACAGACTTGACAGTCAACCCGATTTCTCAACGGATCTAAAAATTTTAAACCAACCTGAGGAGACCGCTGACGCAATTCGAGCTACTGTAGAGTTTATGGTAGTTTCGCTGGTTGCAGAAGCGGCTCAGCCAACCGATAAGTCCAAAAACGAATTTCTAACAAAACTAGCACAAAAGATACAAGAGGAAAACCGATTCCCAAAAAGTGAAGACATGCCTAAACTAGCCGAATTAACTGAAAAATCAGGACGAAGTCCAGGAATGGACGAGCTTGTCATGAACATGCTTAAAAACGTCGGAACTGCCAAAATAGAAGAAGTGTTTAGCAAAGAAAATTTTCCCGTAAGGACTCAAAAAGGAACACAGAAAGGGCGCGACTTGCTACATAGAAGAGGAAGTGAAGAAGTTGCGGTACATCTTGTCCGCTTGGCTTCTGCTAAAGAGCACGATGAACGTCTTATCAAAGACAAAGGCTCCGAAAAGTGCACACGTCGTCGAAGAAAACGCTTTGCTTGTTCGCTAAACGATAAAAATTCTGTTACTGTTGATGAGGGGTCTATCAAAATTTCTGAAGACAAGGTTGAATTTGATGTGGTAGATCGCCGTAATGCTAAAGAACGAGAACACGTTGAGTTGAAGATCAGCCCAAAAGAATTGGCTACTCCAAAGCTGATCGAAGACCACCTATCCAATTCTCGAAAAGCTGGAATGAAAGAGGCATACTCCAAAGTAAATAAAGGTTTAGCTGTTCATGGCCTAATATTTTCTGCTCTCGGTGCCTTAAACGCGTTTCAGGAAGGTGATAACCTTCGAGGTGCTGTTAGCTTGGCCCAGTCTGCTCACACGCTTGGAGGACTTACTGGTCTCAATGAGATGGTTTCCAAAGTTGGGAAACGAGTTCTCAGTAGTGCAGCTAAGGGGTTGGCTAAAGGCTTAAACTTAGAGAAAGGCTTGGAAACGTTGTCTAGCAAGGTGGAAAGGTTCGCGGAGAGGGGAGTCGGAGAGTTGTTGGGTGCCATCCCTGGCGTGGGACTTGCATTCGATATCTACTTCATTGAACAAGACATAGAACAGTTAGCCGATTTAAATCTAAATGATCCTGAAGACCTCAAGCTATTGCCACTTCGTGTGATTGATTTAGCTCTTGACGTAAGTATCACGGTACTGAACTTAGTAGGAACATTGTGCCCTGAAGCGGAAGTCGTCACCGAACCTCTTGTGATCGTTCTCTCAATAATACGAATGGCTATTGACGACTTCTACATCGATATTATGGCCGAGGTGGAGAAAGTCAATTGGAAGAGTCCATGGGCTGGATTAGAGTTCCTTGCGGCCCTAGTCAAAGGTTTCTTGGATGGAGCTGCAGATTTTCTAACAGGTGGACTAAGAAGACAGATGGAGGCTTACAGGAAACAAGAGGAATATGACAAAAAACTCATCCGCGACTTGAAAAACCCAGACAACTATTACAAGATAGTAGGGGAAAAGAAGGGAAGTGGAGAAAGAATTGATTTTACCCAAGGGAGGCTGTCAAGTTTTGGTGGCTATATTAACTTCAGGCTCCTTGACAATAACCGTGCTACCTTAGAAATTGGAGATGTATCTGGCAGCCATGAAACAATTCGTAAGACATTTTCAGTTGGTTCAAATCTTAAAGACATCGTGCTTGGGATAGGGGAGTCGAGGAGTTTCACATACAAGCACGAGACTGCTAAGCTGTGGTTCGTTATTCCCGTTAAGTCATACAATGTCATTTGCGGAGCAAATCTACATGAGAAATCAGTTTATGGAACTTATTACGGAAACTCCAAGAATAACACCTTTTACGCCGTGCAGCATCCAAAACCAACAACAAAGCCCACTGGAAAAAAGAATGAAGAGTGCAACTTTGGAAAATTAAATCTTAACTTTCTTACTGGAAATTATCATTACAATCTGTATGGGCGAGGCGGTAACGACACATTTTACCTAGGACCAGAAATGTCTAGTGTAACTGGGGGATCTGGAAGTGATCTGTTCATTATCCAGTCGGACGGGGGAAAAACAATTATAGATAATTTTGCTGAAGATAACATGCGCGACATCATTGTCATCAACGTTGACTATGATGACATCCGATGTTATCAGAGTGGAACTGATCTGGATGTCACTTATTCCAAGAGTCATCACATTCGTATCAAGAACTGGTTCATTCCTGGAGATCCGACGTACTACCGTCACGTCTCATTTCGTAGTAAGGACGGAGTCATTTTCGTCCCCAAACAAACCCTAAATAGCGAAGCTATCCATGATGTTAAATGTGAGGCGGTGGCTCTAGATTTAGGCGCCGCAAAAACGGGCCAAACGGTCTCACTTCTTGATAATAAATACAGTCAAGTCAAACAAGTGTCGGGGTCAAAAAGCTCAGATAATATTGCTGGAAATAATGTCAATAACATCATAGATGGAGGTCCCGGAGCTGATCGTTTGGCTGGAGGGAAGGATGAAGACACATACATCATCAGGGCAAACGAAGGTTGCGATGTTATTGACAATAATGCAGAGGATTACTCGACCACTACTGACATTGCGGTGTTCGAGGTACCGTTTGAAATGATAGAAGTTAAAACAGAAGGTAATCATCTCTCTGTAACAGACAGAAACAATGCCCAACGCTCGTGCTTCACTATAATAAACTGGATCTTAGGACACCGTTACAGACATATGCTCTTTACCTCTGGAGATCACGTTGTCTTTAAAGTGTCCACCAAGGAAGACGGAAGTGTATCCAAAGTACCAATTATGCTGGATTACAAAACTTCCCCAACCGGTATCTGTGTCGATTTGTCGGATTCACCGAGTCCAGACTGCATTAAACCAACGGGCTACAACGACGTCGCCACAGTCTCTGATTCCCCCCACAACGACCACATAGTGGGAAATGATCAGAGCAATTTTTTGAGCTGTATTGGAGGAGAAGATTATCTTGAGGGCGGAGAAGGTACTGACAATTATGTTGTGAAAAAAGCATGTCGAAAAGCGACAATTAACAACTTTGACAGTCGCCAGAAAGTTGACTTAGCTCATGTAGAGGAAACGTTTGTAAACTTACAACTGCAGAGAGACGACAGAGATTTAAAGGTTACCTCAAGTCATGGAACACCTACTGTAGTATTACGTAGTTGGTTTCGCTCGTCTGACTACCAGCATCTTGGAATAAGAACTATCGATGGAATTACACTTAGAATAAACAGTAAGACAGCTCAACTTGAGGCATATGAGGTATCTAAGGATCCCACTGAATGTCAATGCACGCATGCAGGCTGTGACAAGGGGCTGATAACATACAATCTTGACGAAAATCCTTGGAAAAACGTGGTCCGCTTTCAATTGAAATCAAGTCAATGCAGTTACAAAATTTATGGGAACAAACTGAATAATTACTTTGACCCCGGAGCTGGAAATGGTTATAATTACCAGCATCTGGAAGGAAGGGATGGATCAGATACCTATGTGTTAAACCATGGATATGGAGAGTTCAATGAAATCAACAATTATGCAGATGACAGCAAAACAGATAACCTTCAACTTGGAATGGAATTTGATGATATTCGTGTATATTTTCACGGCCGAAACGATGTTATTGTCGCTTCAAACAGACGACCTAGCTCACTCAGCGTTCGAATTCTAGATTACTTCAGTGGTGGGAAATATCAACATCTCCATATAATATCCTCGGACAAAGTGGTCTTTATTATCATTAAACAATACCCGTACAAAAAGGTCATTGCCGTCGACCGTACAATCATTGACTCACCACAAAACATTGATCCGCAAAAGAATAGTATAATCGCAGCAGCTGAAGATTTGAAGGGATCGCTTACCTCTTCGAACGAACTGACAGGCAGTGACACAACAAGGGAAATTGAAGGTGGTGCTCAGGCCGACGTTCTACGTGGTGGACAAACAGGAACAATTTTTGAAGGAAAGCAAGGTAATGATAAGATATATGGTGGAGCTGGTAATGATATAATTTTTGGAGGGGATGGTGATGACATCATCTATGGCGGAGACGGAGATGATTACATTTATGGAGGAGATGGCGGAGATATCATTGATGGCGGCGATGGTAGTGATACCCTCACTTTCAGAGGCGATGGTTTCCGTCTCAGAGGAGTAACTGTTGATCTCAAAATTGGATTTGGAAAAGGAGTTGATGCAGAAGGAGATATCTATAACAGCATCGAAAACGTATACGGCACCATTCATAATGATTTTCTGATCGGTTCTGATTCTGATAACAAGCTTTGTGGGCTTGAAGGAGAAGACACACTGGCTCCTCATGGTGGCGTTGATAAACTGGTTGGAGGTGAAGGAAAAGATTCGTATTTACTCTATAAGGCTTCTGGGTTAAAAATCATAGACAACTACGCGGATGATGAAATTGAAGACACCCTCTCCTTGGTTCATTTAAACTCCGCCGATGTTTGCATCTTCTTAGTTGGAGATGACTTATATCTACAAGCTGATAAATCTAACTTGGCCTCAGTTCTTTATTACGGCGAACGTTTGTCAGTAGTAATAAGAAGCTGGAATGTGAATGCAAAGTATCGACACCTAAAAGTGTTATTTAGTAACAATGTGTGGGAAGGGTTCGCGCTATCTGCCATCGCCACAAAAATGGAGACACTAACAAATTCTGTGAACTTTATCGAAAAGGAAACTAACTTGCAGGTTGTTTCTGCAAGTGCTACAGACGTTAGCTTGTCATGGCAGGAAACAGAAGGCACTTTGAAGCTTTCCGAAACGGAGTTATTCCTTGTACATTTTAAGCAACTGGAACCAAAAACCTTAGTGAAAACAAAAGTAGATAACGAAATATCATTAACTGTCACGTCTCTTGATCCAACTTCCCACTACGTCTTTGCTCTGGCATTAACAAAGTGCAAAGCCACAATCGCAGTATCCCACACGCTTATAACCTACGGTCGTGAAAGATCCTGTCCCGCAGCACAAGTACCACACTCGGTTGTTCAGTACACTCCACCCCCAACTGCATCAACTCCTGCTCACGGCACAATTGCCAGCTTGAAGTGTGATGGCGGATACAACATTGACGCACAGAACACCGAAAGAAAAACAACATGCTTAGACCAAGAATGGATCCCCTCCCTTCCCGTTTGTAAGAAAATAAAACAGTGTCCTGTCCTCACAAAGCCGCCTAACGGGGACGTTTCTTCAAACGGACATGACGAAGGATCAAAAGCTTATTATGTTTGCCACAAAGGATTTCTGCTCGACGGCCCAAAGGAACGAAACTGTGTAGATGAAAACTGGGATGGGACAATTCCTGATTGTCAGCCGCTAAGTTGCCCAAGACCACCAAGTGTTGATTATGGATCGTATCTTCCCTGCGATTATATAAAGCATACAAAGACGTACGGAACAATGATCAGCCCTCTTGAAGGCTACTGCATTACGCTTAAATGTACTAACTTATATCTTCCAAGTCACGTATTTAATGGGAAGATGCACCGCCCTCGCTGGGAAAGTGACTGGGAAATACCACAAGGCGGACGAGTGTGTAGCGATGGAAAGTGGATTGGTTACGTGGACGAAATTTGTGAACCAGTTGCTAGACTTGCCAATGTGATAGATCGGTGGAATAAAAAGAGTGGTTTACTTCAACTCTGGCAAAATAATGCATGGGCGGTCGCATCGTCTATCCCATCACCAAACATTCTTGGTCTTTCTTGCAAAAGTGTGGGAATAGATGATCCCCAGCATCTAACACATAGCTCAAGCAGTTCCCAGATAAGTGTAACTTGCTCTAAACTACGCCTGACACGGCCGAAGCCAACTATTTATGAAGGAAAAGTTGAAGTATTAGCTAACGGAAACTGGGAAGGAGTATGCGTGACGGAAACAGGAACACCTGCTAGCCAGACTGCAAGCAAGCAGATTTGTGAGGCACTCGGCTTTAACTATATATCCGCTGTTGTCGCCATCAGTACTGGCTGGACAGATCACAGGCTCGTCTGTTCACCGTAAGTAATTAGTTGCTTTATGTGTTTAGACTAACAACATGTCCTGTGAAAGCAAGATACACAAATGAATAAAGGGGGTTGGTTTCTAAAGAAACTGTGGTGGGAGAGAAACACGAAAATTTGGTTTATCAACGCAGTTGTTAATAATGTAAATTGACCACTGTACAGAGATAGCCCTTCGTCCGAACGAAGGGCTATCATAAACGCTCGAAACGACAGCTTTATGAATCTTTGTACGGTGGTCAATAATAGTAATAATAATAATAATAATAATAACAATAATAGTAATAATAATAATAATAATAATAACTTCATTTCTATAGCGCTCTTATCCTATGTTCAAGGCGCTTTACAATCATATAAACAACATTATTAATAAATATTTACAAATTTACAACTATGTCCTATTATATTTACAATGATTAAAAAAAAAAATTAAAACTAAAGCAATATATACAAATCTATAAAAGCAATGATCTGTTATTACTAAATTTAGTAAACAAGTACCTCTTAAGTAATCTTTTCAAAACTCGAGATAGTGTTAGACTTCCGAATTTCGGGTGTTTTTTGGTGTTGCGGAAACCATTGTTGGTTAGGTATTGTGTTGAAGTGTGGGTATTGTTCAGTGTCTTTTCAATCTTTTGTATTACGTCATTTGGTGATCGCACCATCCGCAACACCAAGAAACCCCCCGAATTTCATAGGGTATTAAGTTCCATTCTCTTGGTGCATGAACTGCGAATGCTCTGTGTCCGTAGGTCTTGGTATACGATCTAGGTTGCATTAAAAGTTCATTACTAACAGACCTCAATGATCTAGTATGAGAACGATGATGAAGTTTCTGAGCTAAATAGCTAGGCGATGTCCCATTCAGTGATTTATACACTAGAAGCAGTATCTTGAAAACAATACGGTATTGAATCGGTAGCCAGTGAAGCTCGCACAAAACAGGTGTGAAAGCTGGCTGATATCTGCCCGTTCCCCAAATTTATTCCCTACTATCCACCACCAAGAAGCCTGCTCCCAGACTAATATTTTCTGTAAAAAACCTTTATCAAATAAACCCCTCTATAAGTGAACCCTCTAGCCAGGGGCTCGTGGTTTTCTGCTAATACAGGTTTTATTGTACTTCAAGGTCCTTTTTCGTACATTGTTATTGGTTACAGTATGGTATGATTGTACACAAATGATTTTATTATTTTGATGCTATGAGAAATTTTAAATGTCGTTTTGTTAAACCGATCTGTAAATAAGACTATGAACATGTTTATTCACTGATTATCATCGTATTAAGGTTGATTTACACGGTAACTTTGTCGCATGCAGTGCGCGGTTACGAAGAACCTACAACTAGAATCGCACCGTGTCGATCAATCATACGACAATCGCAAGTCAGTTGTACGATCAATTCACATAATATATACAATTCATCATCATCATCATCATCATCATCATTTATTTCGCCTTTTCTCTTAATATTAAATATATACATCGTTTAATGGACGGCGAGGTGACCTCTGGAAACCACCAGGCTTATAATTGAGGCCACCTCGTACATTACAATATATTAGTAAAGGACAGTGCTACGTGTGTGCGGCTTAGCCAATCCATTAAATTATTTTTCTAAAAATTCTAGCAGTTTTTTTTTAAAATTAGGAAAACTTGACAGAGTAGTGATTGTAGTGGGAAGAGAGTTCCAGATTTTTGGACCTTGATAGAGAATTGTGAATTTTTTGAGGTTTGTTCGGCATTGATGCACGTGATAATTGTTGGCTGTTCTGGTGCTATAACTATGAATTTGACTATTTGTACGAAACAAATTGAAAAACAACGGAGGCAACAGGCTGTAGTGATAACAATACATAAATTTAGCTATTTGAAACGTATTGATTTGAAAAATATCTAAAATTCCTAATCTGGAGAATAAAGGAGCAGAATGTGTTCTATAGTCTGAATTGGTGATAGCTCGCACAACCCGTTTTTGCAAACAATAAATTCTATTTAAGTTAGTTACGTATGTGGACGACCATGTAGAGTTACAGTAAGTGATATAGGGATAAATTAACGAGTAGTACAAAGTGAGTTTAGTTTTTGAAGATAGATAGAAGAGGGACCTGAATAACATTCCGATAGATTTCGAGATTTGTTTACATAAATAGCTGATATGATCTTTCCAAGTAAGGTGCTCATCAATATATACTCCAAGAAATTTAGTAACGTTGGATTGTGTTAAAGGTTGACCACCAAGGGAGATAGAAAAGTTGTGGTTACATTTCTTCTGCCAAGGCTTGAAAATGAGATAAGTCGTTTTTTTTACATTCACCGATAATTTGTTGCATCGCAGCCCAACTTCAATATTTTTTAGTTCGTTATTAAGTACAGATTCTAGGGTATTTGGGTTGGAGTGAGAATAAAAAATACTAGTATCGTCAGCGAAGAGCAGAAGCTCTATCTTTTCTGAAGCGTTTGGGAAATCGTTTATGTATGAAAAATAAAGGGCCAAGAATGGAACCTTGCGGCACACCACATTTTATGGTCTGCATCGGAGAACAAGTTTGATTGAATTGAACAAATTGATGGCGATGAGAAAAGTAGCTTTTAATCCACTGCAGGGCTACATCACGGATACCATAGTGTTCCAGCTTGGTAAATAGGATATCATCATCGAGGGTATCAAACGCTTTAGAAAGATCCAGAAAGATACCTACAGTGGTTTCATGTTGGTCAATTGCAGACGAGATTTTATTGAGCAAATGGATTAGTGCATGTGATGTCGAGTGATTTTTACGAAATCCAAACTGACGGAGATAGAATATTTCGTTTGATTCGGCAAATTCGACTAAGCGATTGTACATGACCTTTTCAAAGAATTTTGAGAAATTTGGCAGCAAAGAAATTGGTCTATAATTTACAAAAAGACTCGGATCCTCTGTTTTGTAGATGGGAATTACTTTACCAATTTTTAATTTATCTGGGAAAATACCTTTTGATAGAGAAAGATTTATGTTAGCCAGAGGTGCGGAAATCAGGTGAAATGAATGCTTTATCACACGCATAGAAATATTATCATAACCAGGGGCCTTTCTCGGCGAAAACAAGTTACAAATGTTTTCCAATTCTCGAGTATCGGTGGGTTTTAGGATGATGGGAGGATAATCTCTGCTACCAAGAAATGATGTCGTAAAAGTCGATTTAGACGGTGGTACAACTTTGTCGCATGCGATGTGCTGACGATAAAAGCGTACGATTTCAGATTTTTTAACGTTTTGCACTATTTACAAAGTATTGATGTATAAGCTATACGTATTTATAATGCGCTACATGAAAAACTAAAAAACAATGAACCGAAAATAAAACTGTGCGCAGTGACCAAGTAGCTAGTGCTTCGGGCTGGTCACCACCGCGTTAAGTTTATTAGAGACCATTAGAGGTCCATAGTGATGGGAGCTAATTTAACACCAGATTTGTCTCTAGCTAACCTCAAGTTCCACAGCTAGGCCACAAATAAATTATAAATATGGTGCTGCTACTTTTTCTTTCGTTATCTCAAAAGTATGGGAACCATTTCACCTGAACTAAAAAGGCTACGTTATGTCCGTTGTACAAGTTGTACTTCCTCCTAACTACCCAATTGGTTTCTTCAGAATATTATGTGAATACAAACTACCTGTTCGTCAAGTTCTATTCTTTTAATTTCTTGCATAATTGTATCTGTTTAATAAGCTTACTGTCTATGCTAATAAACTGGTTTAACGTGGCAGTCTCTTATTTTTCTTTTCAGGTAATAGAGCGCGTGCGATTGCGCGACTTATGAACGGCAAAGCTATTTGGAAGCTTTTATTTAATCTCGAAATTCAAATTTTCGGTTCCTAGCATTTTCCATTCTCTATTAACTTGTTACGATTCGTTGTCATATTTTTCTTTTGCGGGATTCTCAAGATGGCGGAAAGAGGAAAACAAAAACAAGATAGCACGGTCTTATATTCAACACAAACGGAAAGAGTGAAATTTTGGTGGTGTGAAAGGAAGGGGGGACGGTCACACGACTATCAATTTTTTTTCTCATCCATAGGTTTCCATTTTTTCTTTAATGGGTATGAAGATCCGCGCTACTACGACAATTATTTACCTATTTTTGTCCCCGGGATTGCTTTATTTGCGGTCAAGTGATGTAATGATAACGTCATTTAGATGATAAGCGAAAACTGTGATGATATCTGGCTCGTGGTCACTCGTGTGTACTTTTAGACACGATCCATTCTAGTCTCAGGCAAGAGTCATCTTCATCAGAGTAAAACTGAGTTGTTTTTCGTTAGTTCATCGATAAGTCGCAGTGTCATTGGTCGTCTGCCACTTCAGCCGAGATTTCTAATCGGGAGTGGAGTGTCTCTATCCGCCTTTTCCCAGTGTAACATCTGTTGTGGTATTCATAGTTTCCAAGGATCTCGCAAGTCTTAAAATATACTTTATTTACCCGAGGTTTACCTGAGGCGTAATCTATTAGACAACCATGACAGTCATTAGTACTATTGTTCTAAAGTTACACTTTACCTATCATTTATAAAACACTGTTTTCAATAGAAAAATCTTAAACAGCCAATTAAACTTGCTCATTCAAGTTTGGCTAGATATTAGCCAGTTTTTTTGGCGTTGCTTTGACCTCGACAAAATAAACTTGGCCAAGCTACAGCCATCTTGACTTCACGTTTAGGGCAACATAAAACGTAGATTGACTATCTATCTTAATGTGTCGTAGCGGAACCAGCAGATGCAGTTTGGAGGCCCACAGGCAACAGTGTGGTACAATGGTACGATGCAGACAACAGTGTACTAATGATCACCCAGTGCCTCATGGTGATGTTACATGTACAGGAAAATATGAAGACGACACGTGCACAGTTCATTGCTACAACGATTACAAACTCAAGACAGACTCGAAAGTTTATTGTAAAGGAGGTGTATGGACAAAGAGGAATGGGCAACCCGCTTCATCCCGCTGTGAATATATAGGTGTGTATCAATGTATCTTGTGATGGACAAGAAAATACATGCACATATAGTGAGGCGTAGAAACGGGTGAAAGATGTGACAAAATCCCAAAGAAAACATTATGAGGCAGGACGTTGTATCTATATTTATTCTCAAGCTAGTCCATACTCATCACAGCTTTCTCATAATTTATATTTTTTAGATACTCTAGTTGCGGATGAACTCCCAGGCATTGTAACGGCGAACAGAAGAAAAAGCCGCAGCGACTTAGCCTTATTTTTAACAGATTATTTGGTGAAAACTTATACCACTCAATATTGGGTGGTTACAGTGTACAGCGATTGGAGGGGATGGGAAAATCACGCTTTTATTGGTTACCGAATAACTTACAAGTTTAGTCATCATGGGCTTAACTATGTAGTTACACGATATCCTAAACATTCTGCTCGCTCTCCCAGTGTGTCAATCTCTGAAGTGGTGGGCTCCGTAAATCAAAACCACGCTAAAGACGCTCTTGATGCTATCAAGAGTAGGTTCGATGCACGTGCCCAAAGTTTCTCCATCATACACGTCGTAAAATGGAGAAGGACGGAGGGTTGGTTTCTCGGTGAGCGTACTCTTCACATAGGGCTCGCCACTGCACAATATCTCCCTAGCAATAACATTTTCTGGAAAAAGTTTTCAAATGTCGTTGTCATCGTCGTTGCCCCTTATTAACGAAGAATGCTGCTAAAGCCCATTCACACGAATTAAACTTGTTTAATTAAACCTGGTTCAATTTCCGGTAAATTCAACTTAGCTTTATCTTCTATATTTGTCTGCGTAACAGAGGTTGTATCTAATGAAATCTTCTAGGTTTTCCTGTCAAATTTACTTAAATTATGAAAATACATTCGCTAAGGTACAAAATGGCTCTTGGCCAAAAGGATTAATTTCATTTCCCAAGATCAAAACAAGCCATAATCAATAACTTTTGACGTACACTGGATGTCTTGCTATGACAGGAGGACGTTATATCAGGGTTCCGTTCGATGCATTTTTGGTAACTATGGCAAAAAAATCCATCTGTTGTACGGAGGTGTTCGTTATACAGGTATTTGTAATATCAAGGTTTTAATTTGTTTTTCACAAATAACACTGCACAGTGAAACCCTGATATAACTGACTTTTTGGTATCAAGAATGTACTTCTTTACCGCAGTTATAGGAAAATGTGTGAAACACAACATCGATATACCTTACTCGTGTTATATTGCACCATTCTTCTGTTCCCCACGCACTTCGTTAAATTTGAAAGCCAAAAACGTTTCCCTGTTTTGGTCTACTTCATTCGCACCTGGGTGAACGCTTTAAAACAGTTTTCCATGTACTATGGTAAGTTTTAGCAAGATCAGTGCATCCTTGGGGAATAATAATAATAATAATAATAATAATGTTTATTTCTTATATTGCGCAGTCTAGCATGCGATAAAGATATGATCGAGTGCGCATTACAACACTAAAATCTTAAAGGAATAAATGGCTAGTCCAAATAATGATAATAATAATAATAATTTACAATTTTCGGAAAACAATAAAAGTAAAATATGAGTTAATAAAAGAACTAATAAAAAGCTAATTTAAAAAGATGTGTCTTTAGTAAAACTTTAAAAATGTTCAATGATTGACATTGTCTAATTTCTAGAGGGAGTCGATTCCATACTTTGGGCGCAGCATTTTCAAACGCCCTATCCCCGAGTGTCTTTTTTGTTCTATAGGTATTGTCCATTAGGAGTATGCCCCGGTATGATCTCAACTGATACCGCGAGCTCTCTTTGATTTTTATCAAGTCTAAAAGATATTGTGGTGCGACGCCGTAGATACATTTGTGAACTAGCATTGCTATCTTGAATTCTATTCTGTGGGTAACCGGAAGCCAGTGCAGGTTGATCAGGGATGGTGTGATAGGATCATACCTAGATATAGTACATACCAGCCGAGCTGCCGCGTTCTGCAGGCGTTGCAGCTTACCAAGATGAACAGCGGGCGTACCATATAATAGACCGTTACAATAGTCTAATCGTGACATTATAATAGCCTGTACAATGGACTTCCATGGACTTCAATGGACTTGAATTTCTATTGCATGTTCTTCTAAGGTAAATTTTAAGAAGACCAGGCCACCCTTTACGGGATTTAAATTGCAACTACTAGTATGCTAAATTTTAGCAAGACCAAGCCATCCTTGAACTTGAAGGAAGACCAGGCCACCAGGTCTTTGGGAGATTTCCATTGATGCAAACATTTCAGTTGGAGTTTATATATAGCACTGAAACTGCTCGTTTCAATTGACAGTCGACAATAGTCAGTTAGCTGATCTTTATGAACGAAGCAATTTATAATATTCAAACTTAGTGTTCTGTGCGGAATTCTGGAAGCTAATTGGTTGATTAGAGTGTGGTTATGGCGAAAAATACACGATTTTCGCACGTCAATGACTTTTTTATCCCCCAGGGACCTTTTTATGAATATTCCAGAGTCATTTGAACTTTTTATTAACCAATGTCCGTATCATCTTTCTTTTGAAAGCCTATTTCAATTTATTTATATCATAACTTGGACAACAAATGTTCTTTACTTTGCTGCTGCTGCTATTGTCCTTCCTCCCATTTGAAATCGTCGCTGTTACGATGCAGAGCACTTAATTTGCATGGTAAAAGGATTTGAATCTTTACGCTCGCAATTTACCGGCAAATAAACGAACTTTCTACCTATAGAATGAACGTAAAATTCTTCATACTGCACTCGTCTACTCCTCATGTTCGCCGGTGTCATAAGTCTCGCACCTTAATAACCGACATGTTCGGCGAAAATTAGGTATGGTATTGGCATGAATGAAGGATATGTTGTATGTAGTAAATACTCTCCTGGAATGAAACTTTCCTAAGAAAAATGTAAGGGAAAAAAACAAATGGGGTTCAGTTCGGCTTCGATACATGTTGTGAAAAAAAGAATGTCGCAGGGTTGGTGGCCGGATGAATCACGTGACATCTGAATAACGCGCGCGCTTGCCACTGTAAGAAATGTACCTTCTGAAAAGTATTTGTGGTAAAGGTTTTCGGAGTTTATTGTCATCGTTCTTGCTCCTTACTAAAGGCAATTTCCTCTTAAGCCCCAAACCTACTGACAAATTACATAAACTATCACTGTGCAATGTTTACGCACCTAATGATCAGGTCAATCAACTCCAATTTATGCAAGAGCTCAACAATTGTTTAATCGATAAATCAGAGCTCACCTCGCTAATTATCGGGGGAGACTGGAATTGTACTTTATCAAAAAAAGATAAGATCGGAGGTGCACCGTGGAAACTGTCTAGTTACCGTAATCTCATTCTGACCACGATGGAAATGTTTGACTTAGTGGATATTCAAAGAATGCGCCATCCAAAGTTACGCAAATTTACGTACGAATCAAAATCTCTTAAACTTAAATCTAGAATTGACTTTTTCTTAATTGCCAAAAATCTCTCTGGGGATGTAAAGAATTCGGAAATTTATCATGCAATCGCGCCTGACCATGACGCAATTTACATTTCATTTTCTTGGTCTAACAAATCCCCTCGGGGACCAGGACTCTGGAAATTTAACAACACCTTATTGAATGATATTCAGTATGTGAGCACGGTTCGGGATACATACGCTCAAGCGTGCAGTTATTATAGCCATGTGTCGGATAAGAGGCTCTTTTGGGAGTTAATGAAAATGGAAATCAGATCAGTGACCATTTCCTTTTCCAAATGTAAAGCAAAACGTATCAGCAACAGAGAACAGGAATTAAGACGTAGAATAGATCAACTTGATGTTATTATCTGTGAAAATTTTTCTTCCCCTTACATCGATGGAGTACTACGGGAATACGACGGACTGAAAACGGAACTTAAATCAATTTACGAAGAAAAGGGAAAACAGACAATGTTTAGAGCAAAGTGCCGTTGGATAGAAAATGGTGAACGCCCAACAAAGTATTTTTTCAATCTTGAAAAAAGTAATTACAACAAAAAAACTATCAGTGAACTTTGATTACATGATGACTCTACTACGCGCAACGAGACAGTGATTCTAGAGCAAATTGAAAATTATTATAGAAATTTATATACCTCGGATTTAACCTTCTCTGAAACTGCGTATGACACATTTATTGACAATGTTGACTCTCCTAAGCTTTCAGAGGATGTGCAAGAAACTTTGGAGGGTCCACTTACGTACGAAGAATGCGAAAAGATACTAGAAACCTTTCAGAATGATAAAGCACCGGGGGAGGATGGATTTACCGTCGAATTTTATACCTATTTTTTTGAACTTTTAGGGAATGATTTAATAGCAAGTTTCAACGAAGCGTACGAACAAGGTGAATTCTCCATTTCACAACGAAGGGGGATAATTACTTTAATACCGAAAGAGGACGGGTCACTCCTAGATCTCTCAAACTGGAGACCGATTACATCAAAAGCAATAGCCAAACGAATTGAACCGACACTACCAAACTTGATCCACTCAGACCAAACTGGCTTCGTAAAAGGGAGATACATAGGGGAAAATATCCGACTTATAAATGACATAATGGAATATACGAGTCTGCAAAACCTGCCTGGCATTCTAACGTCACTAGACTTCCGGAAAGCTTTTGATTCGATTGAATGGCCCTTTATAATGAAGACGCTAGACCATTTTAATTTTGGTAGTGACATCAAGCGCTGGATTAAGTTATTCTACACAAATACAGAAACTGCAGTGCAAAATAATTGTTTTATAACCAGTTGGTTTAAACCATCGAAAGGAGTTCGACAAGGTTGCCCCCTCTCCCCTTATTTGTTTATTCTTTCTGCGGAGGTACTCTCAAAAAGGATACGTCAGGATTCCAACGTGAGAGGAATCAAAGTCTTTGGCAAGGAAATCAAGCTGTCCCAGTTCGCTGATTATACTACTCTGTTCAATGCGGACATAGAATCTTTAGAAATGGCCTTGAAAATTGTTGGGGATTTCGGAAAAATTGCTGGTCTGTCCCTAAATGTAAAGAAAACGAAGGCGCTTTGGTTAGGTAAATGGAAGAGTAATAAAAATAAACCTCTGGATTTAAAGTGGTTTCACAGCCCCGTTAAAATACTGGGGATATATTTTTCGTATAATATTAAGGAGAATAACGAGCTCAACTTTTACAAAAAGATCGAAAAATTGGAAACTAAGCTGGATATGTGGAGTTCACGGGATCTGACGATATTTGGAAGAGCCATGTTAATTAAAACCTTGGGTATATCGCAACTTATCTATTCAGCCTCTAATCTGGATGCTCCCGAAGGTATTGTGGAAGTTGTAAGAACAAAATCTTTCAAGTTTCTCTGGAAAAACAAGAAAGATAAAATAAAAAGATCAGGTCTTTACCAAGATTCAGACAACGGTGGAATACGCATGACTGATTTTGCTATTATGTTAAAAGCTTTAAAACTCGCCTGGATCCCGAGACTTTTGCGAACTTCGGACAACAGTAATTGGTGTATTATTCCAAAACATTATTTCAGAAGTATGGGAGGGTTAAATTTTTTACTAAGGTGCAACTACGACACGAAGTTCTTTAACGATCTCCCGCTTTTCTATAAGAAGATACTAGACTTCTTCAACGAATTAAAAACTCTTTACTTGTACGATCAAAAGCAGGAGTTAATATTGTTTAACAACAAAGATATATTGGTGGACGGGAAACCCATCTTTTTTAGTGAATGATTTAATAAGGGTATTCTATCGATTAACGACCTATTGAATGAAAGTGGCAATGTTTTAACATTCTACGAGTTCCGTGATAAATATTCCTGTAAATCCAATTTTTTACAGTATTATCAAGTTGTTAGTGCCATTCCGAAACGCTTATGGTCTCTAGCCAAAGGCTCCGACACCATCAACAAATCATTCTTTACCCGAAATGATAATATCTTTTCCCTCAACGAATCGACGCAAATTAATCTGTACAAGGGTAAGACAAAGGACTTCTATAATTTGCTTAACGCTAAGATTCACACCGAAGATCAAACGGGCCCTAAACGTTGGAGTGAAAAACTCTCTTTAAAGAAAGACGTGAAGACTAAGATCTTTAAATCACTAAAGAACATTTGCAAGGAAACTAAACTAAAAGAGTTTCAGTTTAAATTAATCCATAGAACAATAGTAACCAAGAAAGAACTTTTCAGATTTGGTATTAAGGCGGACGATGAATGTCTATATTGCGGAGATAAAGATTCAGTTGAGCACTCTTTTATCGAATGTATGTTCACCAAATTGTTTACCCAAAAGGTCTTGAACTGGTTCAACCAAGCGAATGCGTGTCAAATTTCTCCTACCACGGAGGAGACCTTGTTCGGTATTACTACAAGCTCCCACGACACAACACTAATACGGAAATTCAATTACACCACCTTATTTATGCGCCATTATATTTATTCTACCAAGTTAAATAGCCTCGCCATCTCCATTCAGGATTTTATAAGTAAGCTACTCATTAAATACAATCTTGAAAATTTGTCTTAATTAAATGTTTTATTGAAAAGTGCCCTTGCCTCCTCCAATCAATATACAGTGTAACGTATTGTAAGTAACTGTAGGTTCAGCAAGTAATGTAAGTAGAGTATTGTATTGTTAGTGGTGTAAGTAAGTAAGCCCGTATTTCAATTTATTGTATTTTTTGTAACTGTAGAATGTGTGGAATTGTGTTTTGTAAATTTTTTTTTAAATATGTAAAATTAGTAAAACCTTGGTAGTTGAAAAAAAAAAAATTTAACTGGAAAAGTGTAAAACAGTGATAAGTGATTTCAGGAGGGGTTGGAGGGGGTTACATTATAATGAGTATTTAGGGATAGTAACTACCATGTGCCTAACTACCTGTGGATAAACGTCAGAAAACTACTGTGGCCAAGAGTTGTTATCAAAAGTAATTATTACAGTTACTTGTTGAATGTATTATTTAACAGGAAAATCTATTTAGCAAGCAGCTAGTTAAAAATAGCTCTGTTGAAGCAGTTCATACGATTAACTTAGATTAAGTTGGAATAAAGTCTTTTTCATGACTGTGATGGTTTGCTATTGTTGTTGTTTTGTGGTTTGATCTCCCTTAATTTGCTCATTTAATTTTTGACCAAGTCCTGTGCATAGCCGAAGGCATGTGAGGCCTGGAACTCCGGATCTGGTAACTTCATTTCTCATTCCTCCTTCTAGGAAAGAAGTTGAAAATCTAGAGACTTGGATTCATACCTTTAGCTCTCATGATGTTTCCCAAGCCAAAAAACTTTGCGCTACTTTGTCTCCCTTCTCTCGGATGCTTGTATACGTGCGTACCAGCGACATACTGCTGGTGTTAACCCTGCAATAGACTAGAATCCTGTCAAAGGGGTAGCCTTCAGAGCAGCCTTATTTGGTGGGGCAGGAGAGTTATTTATGTTCGTGTTTGACGAGCCGCCATATTCATTTTGAAAAACAGAGGAGTATTGGGGAGAGTCAGTAAAAATTGTCACTATTAGGGCGAGTATTAGAGTGAAAAGACAGGTGGGGAGGGGGAGAGGAAACAAAAAATTTAAATCCAAGCCTCCATTCCGCCCACCTTGACTTGCCCTAACTCCTAATGTTTTGTGGAATGGCGGCAGTTACCAGAGCAAATAACTAGCGTGCCCACCGAAAACGTCTGCACTGTAGGCTAGTCCAGGGAAGCAGTAGTGGGCTTCCTTGTCTCTAATAAGTAAATAATTCATGGTCAGTCAGTCCCCGAACAAAGTTAACATAAAATTGCATAGAGGGCAATTAAACCTACTAACCCAAATAAAGCTTATGAGCAAAAGAAATAAAATAAGAATTGTTTATGTTTAACCACAGACCACATGAGCTTGGAAACAAGGAGTTTATTGTCATAAGCTGCGAAGGCGATACAAAACTGGATTGACAATAACACTCCAAAACGCAAACCCAAACGGAGAAGTGGTATGTGGTTAAAGGAAAATCATAAAAAAGGATAAAATTAACGTGTAATTATAGACTAAACGAAAAAACACCGAACAGAACAATACTAAGAACAAAACTTAAAGTGTAGTGGATGAGGGCTGTTGAAACTGTGTCGCCATCGAAGAGACAGCTTGCCGTTTTTTATTAGAAGACATCTCTAAATAAACTAAATACGTATCGCTTCGCCAATCACCTTGAAACTTAATGAGTTCGGCTGGGACCTTACTGGCAAAGGCGAAAGTAGCACCGTCACGACGGAAACTGTGCAGTGAATAATGGCGCGAATCCACTCCTAAAGCCGTGATAACCTTGGCTAAGAACTTAGAAAAATGACTGTAAGTGAGAGGATGCGCAGGGGACGTGGACATGGACCTAACTGAAGAAAGCGGATCCGCCGGGCTAACAGCTTTGATACGCAAATGATTGCTAAGTGCCGAAACGGGACAAAGGGGTGATTGTCATGTGGAGAAATGAGGGACACGCACGCGCAATAGAAATCAGGTTAGATTGCGTAATCCGGCAAAATGGCCTTTCTTTGAGAAGAGAGTTTGTATGGACCAAAAAGAAAAAAATAGGCTTACCTCTTAACCTTGCAAAAATTGCACAATGTTGCATCTCGCTTGTGTCTAAGATGCAGTTACCTCAAACTTGCCATAAGACATGGTAAATTATAATCGCCACGGTTTTAGCCCAGACAGAAAATCGTCCAATAGCCATAAATGGCGCCCATGTTGTCTCTTATTTCACGCAGACGAAGTTTACTGCAGCGCGATTTCCAGCGACAGTTGAAGAGGTATCCGAAATGTTGCATCTGTTTTCCCTTTTCAAAACGATGTTCTTTGAGGGACAATCAACGAAAAGCCGTCAAAATAGTTTTCAAATAGTTTTGCTACTTATTTTCGCTTACATTTGCGTAGCTACCTTTCTCCGAAAGCGTGACATGGAGTCAAATCCAGCGAAGAAAGGCTTCACTCGAGAATCCTGTTCCGCTGCTTCGGGCAGCCATTTTGTCTTCAAATAACTTTGTAACCTCTTGTTATTAGTTTCCAGGCTCAAAGTAGCTCTCAGTTTTTCCAACCGAGTAAATCTGGGGAAAACAACTTTCAAAATACACAAAGTGGCGCGGTTAATCTTTATTAAATAAACTATCCGAGCTACCAGCGACCTACAACTGAGCTTTGACAAATTTTCTCTGTTCCCTACTTGCTCAAACATGTGCCAGGGACAAACATATCGATCATAGTTCCATTGGACGTCAGAACGATAAACATAAAATAATAAGGTCGACTCAAACTTACAAATCGTCCTTCCCGGCGAGTTATAATTCGATATACAATAAAAAGCGGTCCTCGGTCAACTGTTTTCCGCCTCCCTCCCTTTCCTGAGTGAAATCGGCTGTGGACAGGCAATCAAGAGCTCGAAAAAATGTCTCTGAATGTTCACTTCTCTTTCTTCTTGCCGCCATACGGCTTTCGTGATGACGTAGGCAGCAGCCAATGAAGAGCGAGAATTACGCAGGTCTGATTGGCAGGTCAAAGAACGTAATTAAATCAAACTCCATCCCTCGATGTCCCTTATTTCTCCACATGGGTATAATGGGTAGAGGGATCGATAAAGCGCCTTGAAAAACTGGATTGTCTTAGTTGCACAGATATTGAGCCAAGCGCCGGTAGAAGAAACCATATAATCGCAACGACGAGGAACCTTGGGTGAAATAACAGAGCCATTGTCAACAACTAAATTGGACTTCCGCAGGAAGAATAAAAAGGTGACCAGAAACAAGGCCCACATGGCTGCATGAAGAGAATTGTTGCGATCAAGAAGGGGAGCCATACGAAAAAGTAAATTTGGCGTAATGGGATGTTTGGGAGCTGAAGGAGTGCCGAGAAAACGCTTGCAGCCTCGTAAAGCGAGCTGAAATGAATATAAATTATCCCACACAGTTATCTGATGGAGGATTGGAACTGATGCTAATTTTTATGTGAGTCCGAAAAATTCTTTTCTGTCCTTCATAGGAAACCCGGGGTACTTACTATTTGCATGGGAAAACCGGATATTCCGGCTCGATAATCAAATGGTTCGCGTCATTCCGTTTGGGAAGGTTCAGAAAACATGGGCAGTGATTTGAGGCGATGTAAGTTTCTGTTCAGCTGATTTAGATATTCTCTGTATCGGGTCGGCCTTTCACCACCTCAGATTTTATAGTTTTATGTTAATGCACAAAAATTTCACCCGGGTGGCAGTGGCGGGCGCCCGTCTCCAAAAGATTTTTTTCGGCCCTATGGGCCTCAGTTTGGTCTAAAAACTAAGGGGGGCGTCGGGCCCCCGGGCCCCCTTACCTGGATCCGCCACTTAGTGGTTTGTGTAAGTAGTAAGCACCCCAGTATTTTTAAGTATCCATAATGCCTTGTCCCTAAGCCTTAATACTGCGCGTGGCCGTTGCTTTTTGAGTCACGTGGCCGTTCGTCTCCGATACTTCACCGAAATGCATTGACCGAGAAGAACCAAGAAGACGCCGTACAGGGACTAGGCAAATATCCATAACTTTTAGTTTCTGAGAAACGGCTCACCTACCCCTCTCCTAACCCAGCATTTTGCCCTAAGTTAGAAGTAATTGTTAATATTAGCTCAGGGGAGGGGTGGGTGGGCGATTCCCCAGAAACCTAAGCTGATCCGAAGCGAGATCAACAGAGAACATCATTAAAGCGACTTTGAGCAAAAAAGAGCTTGTTTATTGTTTTGTAATTAACTTATTGTCGCCACTTTATATTAAGCGTTTCACTGGAGCCAATTTCTCTTTTTTAGTCCCAGACCGCGCGCCTTCAAATGTGTCTGCGCGAAACCTGAGTGCTACAGAACTCCTGGTTAAGTGGGAGCCACTCCCAAAAGAGTCTTACCACAGCGTTCTTCTTGCCTACCGAATTAATATTTCGAAGATTGAGATCAACTTTACAAGAATCATCAACGTTCCACCCAACACAACCAATCATCGCATCACAGGACTTGACACCTACACACGTTATGTCGTCAGCGTAGCAGCAGTGAATGACGTTGGCCAAGGAGTTTACAGCGATGACGTCATTGTCTGGACAGAGGAAGGCGGTAAGCTGATTTTTCTCATTTATCAAATTTGACCTTGCGTTGTGTCGGTCATTTGAGTTTTTTTAGTTATTATTTTGAATTTTAAATGTCTTTTTTTCGTCCTAGCTACTTGAATTCCGTGGAGGAAATATTATTTCATCTCTAAGACTGAATGCTTTAATTTTAATTTTCTAGTTCCCAGCCACGCTCCAAACATCAGTGAGATATTCTACACAAGTTCAACGAGTATTCGAGTGACCTGGGAACCACTGTCGCCACACTTTGTCCAGGGACGGTTGCTAGGTTACCGAGTTGTTTATCGGCAAGTTGACGGAGAAAACTGGGAAAAATGGAAGGCGATTACCACCGGAAACAAGGAGCATGGTACAAGTATCACTGGCCTCAAGAAGTATGGAGCCTATGTAGTCCAAGTCGGAGCATTCACAAGAAAAGGGAATGGACTGCTGTCTAAAGGATACATACTCCGGACAGATGAGGATGGTACGAACTAGGGCAGGAGCTTCTAACCCGGAGAGAGCAACCTCCTTGCTCTCGTGTCGCGACTTTTTCACGGACTAGTTTATTTTAGAACGGTTTAGACGCGCATTTTGAATATCCTTTAAATTCCACAAACTAGTCAGCAAAACCTACAGACCAAAAAATGATGCCTCCTGATAGCGTTTAGTTTTCCTTTTTGATATCTTATACTTAGAATGCGCTTATAGACACGGTGGAGATTCTATTTTCGCGGGAAAAAGTGCCCTAAAATGTGTCTAAAAATGAACTGGTCCCTAAAAACGCCGTGACATAGGCCTAGTGTGGGAGTTGCTCCCTCCGGGTTATGGGCTCCTGACTAAGGCTAGGTACACACGGCAACGGACGAATTTGCGACCAGTAGGAAATTCGTGTGTTTAGGTGCGACCAGGAGTCCATGTCATGGGCTTCCTGTGTGACCGTTCACACGGAACCACCCTTACCGTACGAAAATTTACAGCCTAACCGCTCAAAAAGTTGAATGCCAAATTCGAGGTCAAATCTTCGACCGTACGCGCGGTGTGTCCATATTGACGGTTCAAATTCTTGTACGGCCAATTTTACCAGCGTGGTGTGAACACCATAACTGTTTAAAGTTTTGTACTGCAAATTTGACCAGCGCGGTGAACATCACCATAGTTGTATAAATTTTTGTACGGTTAAGGTGTGGCTGCATGTTTGCCTGGTAACTCAGCTAGGAGGTACCATTTTGGATTTGCGCTCTGCACATGGGCAGACGATAAAACCACTGAGCAAAGCTGAGAAACGTTCAAATTCAACGTGATTTGCCAGTTCTGTATGAACAAAGTGAAAATACAGTTACACCTCCGTTGTAGAGAGGTTGAAACAAGATTGAATGTAGGGACTGTCCGCCAAAAGAAATGGCCGTTGTAGAGAGGTGGCCGTTAGGGGAGGTTTGTCTGTTTTGAACTTTTCACCCAAAAGTAAAAAATTAAAAAAAAAACTATTGTGCCAGACCTAAAAAATGTGGGTTCTTATATGCAGGTGTTTACTGTTTGTTGCGGATTAAACGACTTGTTTGTTTGCTATCCCTAGTTCCCTCAAAACCACCACAGAATCTGACTGTCGCTAAAGACAACTCTACCTCAACAAGCCTGTTCATTCACTGGCGCCCAGTCCCCGCGAACCATCAGAACGGCATTATCCTTGGGTATCGTATCATGTACAAAAAATCCGCCAGTGAAGACACTCTTAAAACAAAGAATGTTTCCGCGAGAACAACTGCAACAGAACTGAAGAACTTGACCAAGTTTACGGAGTACAGCATCACGATCTTGGCATATACATCTAAGGGCAACGGTGTCCGAGCAAAATTTTTCACCGCTTCTACCACCGAAGACCGTAAGTATCTCATAAGTGTCCCTCGCAGCCGTTTTTGTCACGCAACGTGGCGTGACGAGACAAAAACGGCTGAGAGGGAGACTAAAGTATCTCATGAGCGAAGTAAAAAATGTATCAAAAGAAAAATACTACCTGATATTTTTTGCTTATTTTTGGGTGGTGACGCTAAATAGCACCACACGGAAGTCCTCAGTTCTCTCAGTGCTCGTTCATCTTTAAATTGAATAGTTACACCAAGGATCAAAAGTTAGAACCACCTTGCATTGCATAGTATAGTAATCAGTACCAGATGAAAGTACTGCTTAGTAGCTTTTGCTTGAATGGTAACACTTTAGGATTTCATTCACAGACTCAAAAGTTAGAACCACCTTGGACGATAAATAGTACCAATGGAAAGTACTTCTCGACCTTCTCAGTACCTTTCGGTCGAATGGTCACACTTTAGGACTTCATTCATAGAGTCAAAACTTTGAACCACCTTGTACAGCATAATAAACAGTACTGCTCAGTAGCTTTCATTTGAATGGTCACACTTTAGGACTTCATCCACAGACTCAAAACTTTGAACCACCTTGTACAGCAAAATAAACAGTACCACAGGAAAGTACTGCTCAGTAGCTTTCGTTTGAATGGTCACACTTTAGGATTTCATCCACAGACTCAAAAGTTAAGACAACTTTGCACAGTATAGTAGAAATTACCATCATAATGTGACAGCGGATTTTTGTTGTTATATTTGTCAGGGCCAAGCAAGCCGCCGACATTAACCAGAGTCTTCAACACAAGTTCCACATCAATTCGTGTACACTGGAGCAATATACCACAGAAGTACACTCACGGGATTCTTGTGGGATTCGTTCTTTTGTATCGAGCCATGAATGAATCGCAAGACATGTACGGGGACGTTGAGGTGGGACCTGACAGAGACAACTTGGAGCTGACAAGACTTTGGAAATATACTAAATATGGAGTTCGAGTGCTGGGCTTCACCAGGGTGGGATGGGGAGTTATTAGCCCAGAAGTTGAGGTGCAGACGGATGAGGATAGTAAGTAGACAATTTAAAGCTTTTTATCGCACTCAGTCAAAATGGTTGGGTGTCGTGACGCCCTCATAAACCAGCTACTTCTTAGACAGTTTTCCGTCTGGTATTTTTGTTAGATCGTCGAGATTCAACGCTTGCTATAACGGGTGACCATCTTGGTTTCAAATATACCGAGGGTAACCTAAGGTGGAGTGTCAAATCTACCTCCCGACCCCCACTCCCTCGGTTTGTCCTCTCGATACATCTGACACCAAGAAGTCCAAGATGGCTGCCCATCTTTGTAAGTGCTCAATGTTTTTAAGGAAAAACTGAGGTCTGTTAGCTATTTCTGCACGTGGCGCTGTAAAAGATAGGGATTTCACATCGTTTACTCCGTTATAGGGTCAGTATAGTATAGTATAGTATATAATTAGAAAAGAGTTTTGGAGTAGAATAAACGCTTTACTTTGCGCGTGCAATACTTACTATTGAGTTGTCATAATAATAATAAATACTTTATTATTAGATTATTATTATAATTATTACTATTATTATTATTATTATTATTATCCTCTCGCCTTATGGGGCTTTTCAGGCGTTATGAACCAATAATTCAAAAGAAACATAAATATACGCCACTTCGATTTCCATATTCGTCGTAATGCACCTTATTGGCCCCCCAAAATTTTGCATAACCTTTGTTTTTCATTTCTCCTGGGTATTACAGCCGTCCCAAGAGAAATTGAAAACAATGCTTTTACAAAATGCGGGGGGCAAACAAGGTGCATTACGGGAAATGTGGAAGTGGTGTATGGTTAAGAATCCCAACTGGTAGGACGCGAACCTGTTGGCTACTTGTGTGCGTGGCCTGGGATTTGAACCCGGCGCCAGCTAGCTGTCAGGGCGGGTAAATTGTAATTTGTTAAATTGTAATTTTGTAATTTGTTTACCGACGGAGCACTAAGGAGTTCATAAGAACTCGTTGAAACGTGTCCGTGAGTTCAGATCGAATTGGAATTTGAAAGTGTTGGTTTTTAAGGAGAGGGGAAAACCGGAGTACCCGGAGAAAACCCTCTCGGAGCAAGGGAGAGAACCAACAACAAACTCAACCCACATATGGCGTCGTCGCCAGGATTCGAACCCGGGCCACATTGGTGGGAGGCGCGCGCTTTCACCACTGCGGCATCCCTTGCCCTGTAAAAAAATTGTACTCGGGGCCTCTGGATTACAAGTCAAGCGCTCTAACTGTTTGGCCACGTTGCCTCCAGAATCTAAAGGTCTCTATTGCTTAGTAAACAGATACTATCCTTTGATTACTCACAGCTCCGGGAATGCCTCCAGAAAATGTTTACGCCGCCAACAAGTCAACCCCCACAACGATACCAGTCACGTGGCAACCAATCAGCAACCCGTATTTTGTGCACGGGATTCTTAGAGGTTATACGGTGACATACAGAGCCATCAGTAATCCAAACCAGCGGCTAGACGAGAAGGAAAGAAACATCACAGTCGGACCCAACACTACTTCCGTTGTGCTGAATAAATTGTCTTCCTTTACGATTTACAGCATTGAGGTTCGTGCGTTCACGGTCAAAGGAAACGGCATTCCATCTCAAGTAATATTTGCCGGTAACGAATTCGTTTTTGGGTTTTCGTTTGAAAAGCAGTTACTTTGGCAAGCATAAACGGGGATAGTGAAGACGGGGGGGAGGGGTGGGGAGTAGAGTGCAAACGTACCGGAAGGAAAAGGGAGTAGAAAACTGAAACGAGGTCGCCTGTAATTAAGAACTCCTCCCCTTGTTGATTTTCCTATTTTTTTTCTTCTTCGCTTTCTTGCACTCCCTTCTTTGGTCCTCTTTGACGCTACATTGGGTAAAAAGCACTCAAAAAACAACCCCCACTAGAAAAACGAACTGACAGTATGTCGTTGTGGTCTGGGCATTGAGCGTGGCAATATCAAAAACGAGTTTCAATTATGCGAAAAAGCCAGGCAGAAAAAATACCATTTATTTTATGTTAGGCAACGATTTCTAAAATTTTTCTCTTCACGGGTCCTAATAAATATGGTGCTTAAAAGACTCTGAATTTTCTCTGCCATTTAAGAGTAATAAAAAATAGCGGAGTATATACAAAAATATCAAGTTTGTATTGATTGTATTAATTTTACGCTTTTTTGATGTTTACAGAGACGTGCAACTGCTACAGCACGATTTTCACAAACTACTGGCTTAACCCTCCATATATGGACAAAAACAGTGACGGCAACCAGACCGGTATTTTCCCGCCAATTTTGCGGCTGCTAGTGCGCAGCTGCTGCGGAGAGTGTGCAGCACATGGCTACACGGAGATTGACTTCCGCTCCTCGGGTGACAAAGATTCGGCCAGAAAGAGCACAGAAAAGGAAGTAACGGAAGACATAGACGACGCGACAGAATTAAGTTTCCCCGTGTACGGAAGGATGGATCAAATGGAGTACTCTAAAGAGTATGGCTTTGCGCCTTTGGTGCAATCCGCTGGCGTGGCTTTTATTGTGGGCGTCGATGAACCAGGCGCGGCTGCTAAGATGGTGGTGAAAGCCGTGTTCAATCTGTGGCCTTTGATTATTACCGTGTTTATATCTGCATTCTTCTCTGGAATCGTCATGTGGAGCTTGGTAAGTCTGACGGTATTCAAATTTTCAAAATTGTCAAATTTATTGTCAGAGCGCCACTTGCAAGCATATGTTTTCTAGGAATTACGAAAACATTAATATGTACGTGGAGGCTTAGTCTTTTGAATTTTCCTTTTCGCAGGACTTCGTGTTTAATGCGAATGAGTTCCCAGCCTCGCCAGTACGGGGACCAATTGAAGGAATGTGGTGGGCGTTTATCACCATGACAACGCTGGGGTGAGTGCGGTTATAACATGGTCACATAAGCTCACATAGTCAGGGCGCTTACCGTCTAACTAGTACCCACTGAATTTGGAGCGTCATTATTATCATTTCTGGGCAACATAATCTATGATTTTTAGTAAAATTAAAGGATTCATCTTTTTCCAAGTGATATCTTAGACGTTTAGCGCCGTATCTCAATAGAATTAAAACACAATTCCTAGTCATCAATCGAAAGCAAGCCAAATTCCATTCGCTTAACGCGGGTCGAGTTTTCCCTCGCTAACTGCACTGGTTTAGTTTTTCCTCGCTTGGCACGGGTTAGGGTTCCCGCGCTCTTGGATAAGTGGGTTGAGTTCGGTTCTTTCCTCGTTTGCTACCGGTTTTAAAATTTCCAAGTTTGACATAAGTTTTCCTGCCATTAACACCGATTACACATTATTGCTTCGATACTCACGTCAGTTCGTTCACGGAGTAAATATATACTACAACTCTTTTGGCTTAGAAGCTTTGTTTCCTCGAACTCATTGCCTTCCATTTAAATACAGTCAATATTCCTTTTTGTTTGTCAGGTATGGAGACCGCGTACCACGCGCGATACACTCAAAGTTGTTTGGCATTGTGTGGATCACGTGTGGGCTGGTCATCATCGCGCTTGTGATGTCATTTATCACTACGTCACTGACCATGAATATTATCAAATCCGATATTCCTGTATATGGCTCTAAGGTAAGCTAACAAGCTGTAAAATTCATGCGACCAAGAACAGCTTTGCTAGAATTTCGTCTTCCGATAAAGAAGGAAACAATACCACCGGCTTTTGGTGAAAGGCGTCTCAGCAAGACGTTTAGAGAGTTTGGGAAAATCGGTGTTGGTGTAACTCACTAACGTATAACAAGCCTTCCCTTGTAGCCAGCAAAACGATGTCACGTCAATAAGCGCTTTGTACTGAGTTATCTTGCTTGTTTTTCCTATCTTTGTTTGAAAGGTTGCTGCTATAAGTGATTCAGCGGAATATCGTCTCGGAATTCGAATGAACGCCAAGATGAGTCAAGGCAAGTGTTTTTCTAGTAAGGGACGAGACTGGCCCCAGTATTTCGAATTCCGATTATTACCGGCGAAACCGGGGTTAAATTTTAATCCGGTTTTATGTTAGAACTTGGTGTTTGACTTGCCGAGCCTAGTCCCTGTACGGCCTTTTCCCAGGCCCTCTTGGTCAATTCACTTTGGTGTCCTATCGGAAGCGAATGGGCGAAAACATCTTCGCTTAGACCTCGTGACCCGAAACGCTTTGGCCGCGAAAAATAATGAGGCCTAGGGACTAGGCAAGTGTTTGAGGAACTCTAAGAGCTTTAGACTTAGATGATACCTGGATGTAACATACACGTGTTCCTTAATAATTCTCTCTATTTTCTGGTCCGAAAAACTGAGATTTTAGCGAGTTAACTGGCTAGACGCTGTCACGTCTTTCTCGAACTCAGACCTAATGGTCTTAATCCTTCTTCACAGCATAAGTAAAACATTTATTCAACGACGCTAAACTCAGCTATTTCTACACAACAACGGATAGTTTTTCGTGCGTGCAGGCATGAAAAACTAACCGGTACAGTATGAACGGCATGCAACAGCACAGAACTGGAACAAGTCGTTCAGACAGATCAAACATCATATAGGAGTGGTTTGTCTTTACTTCTGAATAGTTACATCCGTCTTAGTGGGTTTCAGTCGCTGTAACTCATTTACTTCCTCTACGGTCCGAATACCTGTTCACACTACGACGAAGAGTGGCGCTGAGAAACCTATCGGATATGTGACGAACTATTTTCAAGATCGGCGCAGTGCGGCACATCTTCTCTCCGTTACAGAAAACGCTCCGAAAACACTTTTCTTAAAAGACAAACCCTATCCGGTATGGTTTTCCCGTCGGCGCAAAAGTGTTTTAGAATGCCGTTTGCGGCGACTCTTTGTAATTTCAAAACTATATGCCAGGCAATCTCGCCCCCAGCGCGCTTTTCCATTCAAGTACATGGGAGTGGTGGGAAAAGGCCCTGGCGTCAGTCGGTCACATGATTTCCCTCCCCTCCCACCTTTGAAGAGAAAAGTGCCCTGGGAGAGATTGTAAGCCACACACTAACATACTTTGTTTGAGAATTCCTTGTAGACTTTAACTAAGGCCATGTTCACACCATACTCCGGATAGTGAGGGGCATAAAAATTCTCCCAGGGCACTTTTCCCTTCAAACGTGGGAGGGGAGGGAAAACATGTGACCGACTGAAGCTAGGGCCTTTTCCCACCCCTCCCATGTACTTGAATTGCAAAAAGGCGAAGGGGGTGGCTTATAGTTTTGGAATTATAAAGAGCCGCCGCAAGTGGCATTATACCGGCCTGTTTACATGGAGGTGTGGGACCCCAGTTAGGTGAGGTAACCTGCCTGTCCGTATAATCTCTCATTTTAATTTGATCACGTTTACATGATAGGTGGGGTGACCCACCACACGTTACCTCACCTATCTGGGTCCCCCACCTACATGTAAAAAGGCCCTAAAACGCAGGGTACACCACTCTTAAGGGCTTGCATACAGCTTTCACTAACCCGCATGTGAATGGAATCCTCATCGATTCATACAATGTTGGAAGGTTTCTGGGAACTGCCTACCTACCCCTCCCCTAAGCCAGTATTAACATTTACTTATCTTTTAGGGCAAAATGGTGGCTTAGGCGAGGGGTAGGTAGGCAGTTTCCCTGAAACCTAAATTGATCCAAAACGTCTTGTTACACAGGGTACACTACTCTTAAGGACTTGCATACGGCTTTGACTAACCGGCATGTGGACGGAATTCTCATCGATTCATACACTGTAGGAAGTCGGAAGGAGCTGTTTAGCGATGGTCTTTCTCGCGTGAGCAAGATGATAGATTATTCTTCTGCATACGGAATAGTGATGGCAGGTTACGCCAAAAAGCTTCAAAAGTGCTTCCGGGGATTTCTAAAGGAAGAGAAGGCTGTAGTGTTTGAAATCATCACCAGTAACGTCCAAGGAATTACAGTAAGTTAGCAAGTGCTGTGTAAATTTCCATCTCCATTGCAATGAGCTTTTGCAAAAAAAGTTGACATCTGCAAAGCGCAATAGGTAATACCAGTACTACAAGGGACTTTGTGTACACTGATTATGATTTTTTAAAAGCGGGAGGTACTTGCTGTAAGTATAGTTTGTTTACCTTTTACATGGGCAAACCAGTCGGTCCACGGTTTGGGTAAATGGTACTCAAAATTCAGGACTGGTAAATTTCGCCCGGGAATCGCGTTTACCATTTGCACAAATCAGTTCTATTTACCGAAAAATGACCGCGAAGGCCTGAAACTGGTATCAAAGATTGCTTTGAAGAAATGGAACACAAATCTCCGTTTGGAATACTCCGTCCCGAAAAACAGGACAACCTTTTCAGATGTTCCGTTGCTCCCGGAAATTTTCGCTGGAACGACCAACAAGACGTGTTCCATCTACTCTCCAACTGGATTTTCTGGAAACTCTTTTTTAATGGTAAACAACCTTGGTGTTGAGAAAAATGGGGTTATTTGGAAGGGTAACCAGAGGGAGAGCGATACTGCATAATGTTCCGCGTTTCGCCAGTGTAGAGGATCTCAAACAGCAACTCCCGGACAAATGGCGCCCCAGCGAAGATCGTTATTGCAAAGATCTTGGCATCATGAACAGTTTTCGTGCATTTGTTTGTTTAGTGCCACTGCAAAATGCAAATATTAAGTTCCTCTAATAATCCCATAATTCTGTTGGGTAACAGTATTGCCTATTGTACTTAAATGATGTCAACCACTAGGACAATTACATGATGACGTCACTTTACTTCAACTACCAGAACACTTCAGTGTGTTCTTCAGTCTTGTACAAATAAGGGCTATTGGTTTTTAATTCTCAGCGGAAATGCTAGCCTGCGAACAGCAGACGCATTTCAGGTCGTCGCTTCTCTCAACGACCGGTAATGCGTCTGCTGTTCGCAGGCTACGGAAATGCCAGATTTGAACAAGAACGCAAAGACAAAATGTATTCTGGTAGTTGTAGTCAAATGTCGTGATCGTGAAAATGACCAAGTAGCTGTACAAGAAAAAATGCTTCTATTGCTTATTCTTCAGGGACTACAAAAGGATAATGCCGCTTCTAAAACAGAGGGTCTGTTCGACGCAGAGTCCACAGCGTGCATAAAGAGCGTAACGTACTGCGGAATATCTATAGCTGTACTTGTGTTTATCTTCCTGATCTATGAGATAGTCACGAGGAAAAAACGCAACCCTAACGCGAAAAGATACGGTAAGACTTTATATTAGTTAAGCGTATACTGGACCTCGCAGTATACTCAGGGCGCTTTCCAGAAGTCAAAATTGGCCGGCGGGACCTATTATTTTGAAAATAAAATATTTGTCTTTTTTCGAAACTTTTGATAAAACCATCACTGCCGTGCATGCCATTTTGAAATAAACTGAGATGGCTGAATAGTCTTGATTAATGGTGGAATTCTTCTGTAAGGAACAACTGGACTGGTCTGGTTCTGACAAATGGTATGCGCCCTCAGAGCCTTAATTCATTCACAAACTTGGACGCACTGAGTATGGGATTCTGCTTGTATAGGACACTGTTCAAACGTTTTGCTCTTGTATTGAGTGAAAAAAGTCAAGTCCAGATTTTCGTCAATATGAAGTAACCTCTTAGCTGGAATGCAACTGCAACACAATTTTCATTATTAAGCTGCAAGATGAAAGTTGCGTGTGACTTTTTGGTATGTTCAAAGCAGTTAGTGAAAAACCTGAAATAACGTTTCGGTCCGGTGGATTTATTATTAAGAAGCTATGCAAAGGCAGTTTTGAGCGAAGCACGTTAACTGGAACTGTGGCTTTTCCCTTTCCGGTATATGCCTTGACGCTTCCAAAGTGTATTGCTTAGTGTCTTTACTCTTATAGAGACGATTTACCCCGAAATTAGGCAAAAGTGTCCAAGAATGCAAAACGTCTACTTTGGGTTGACGTGTGTCTCTCAGAAACGCGTCTTCTTAAGCTCTCCAGCTAGTCTGTCCAAGCAGGAACATATTTGATTTCCTTCCAATTTGAATATCTTTTCAACAATACAGTCAAGGCCCGCTTTACGGACACCCCGTTATTACAGACAGTTTGCTTTGTCCCTGGGGAAAGAAAGCCCTTACATTTTGTCTAAATTCAACCAGCTTAATATGGATATTTTCTATGGCCCCCTCAGTGTCTGTATTACAGTGGACTGCAAAACAGTCCGTATTTTTGCGTATTCAAGTACGTGCGAGCAGTCAAACAAAAGGTCTGGAACGAGGCAGAGAACAAACATTTTTTCCTCTCGCCTCACACGCCCTACGGGCATGTGAAGCTCGCCACGCTTTACCGATTTCCTTACTGATTTTGAGAAGAAAACCGACTGTTTTGCAGTCTAGTATTACTGGGATTTGACTGTATATCCTTCTTTATTTAATCTGTAGAATATAGTGACTACCTCCAAGATCTCCACAAAGAAGATCGCTTATACGAGTACAATAACACAAAGGATGCGATGAAGAGTATCCTATCAGATTTCTACAAAAACTGTCGCTTTCGGATTGAGAATCTCAAAGCTAAACATCGAAGAGAACTGCGGCTCTTGGCCCGATTAAAACAAGAGGCCACGGAAAAAGGAGAAATAGTCCCAACAAATGGAAGCTTTCGGAAAATAAGCAGGGGTGTTTTCGGGTTTACACCTCGATATAATAGCATAGTTCAGGTAAATGGCTTTTCTCATTAACCCTTTAAACCCTAATATCAGAATTCAGATTCTCATTTGTTACCCCTATAGGTTTCCTATGAAAGTAGTGGGGAGAAGTTGTTGAAGTATCAGTAGGACTTATCTTCTGTGATCATGTCCTCAATTCTCATGACCACTTTGTTTTATAAAGCATTGATATTTCAAGGAGAAACTTGATGCTGATCAGTCTTAGGACTCAAAGGGTTAACGAGAAAACGTCAGACCCGGGAACCCGAGCGGAAGTCGGGGGAGGAGAGTCCGTCCCCGCCGGGGCTATTGCACATACCAGCTTGCCAAAATTGTTTGTTTTTTGCTTACATAAAAGATGAAAAAGGTAAAGATCCTTATTTTGTTTTGGCCAAGGCTCTAAAAATACAATCTAAACTCAGATTTAGCCTTGTCAATAAGCCATCGAGCTGTAAATGAGTAAGCTCGCAACAAAAGCGCGTAAGTCTGCAACGAATCCTCAGTATCCATAAAAACAATATCTCAGCTTCGCATGAACGACCCGTAAAGCTGTTAAAAACGCCTCAATGCATACTTTCTTACCAAAGATACCAAATTAAAGTCTGAGAAGAAACGATCCGTTTAAACACTAAAGTGATAGGCTAGAATTAGGTGGACAGCGACTCAAAGTCTTTGTAAATATCCATTTCTTTCTTGTAATCACATATACCCTTTCACAAAAATAAGACAAACCAAGATTATCTCGTACGTGGAGGCCTGGATGGCAGACGTACTTGAGCTACATACGAGGTAAAATATACTGCCTCTATATTATCCGCTTTCAAGCTTGATATTGGTTTACTTCTTTCCATGTTTTAATTTGAACTCTTTTGCCTGCGAGCGAGCTCTTGCTCTAATATTACTCAGATGCAGTTTAATTCAAACGGAATATGAATAAGTAGGTATATATAGGAAGAGACTTCACGAAAAAATCGGTGTTACTGGTGATAATGCTAAATGAGCTCACAAATGAAAATCGTTCTCGTTTTCAATCTTGCACTGCAGATAATTAATGTAAGTATAAATCGCCCTAGACTGCATTCACGGAACAAAATAAAACAATTACGACAATTAGGAAAACTTTTGTACAGAAGCATTAGGTAGTAACGAAAAGTCCTTGACGGTGTAGTAGGCAGTAGTTTACAATTCTGAATTCAATTCAGTTAATGTACGTGTGGCAAGAGGAAATGCTTGAAGTGCAGACCTGGATAGCTCATTTTGATTTTGTGGGTGAAACATAAAAGTGAAACCTTGCCCTCAGCGTAGTCTCTGGGAACGAGGTTGATATGTGTTATTAGGGAGCTTTTAAGCTGCAAAGCAAAGGCGTTTTTCAGCGACGCAAGTCAACTGAAAGTGAGGTATCTTTCATTTTGAAGCACCTTGACGCTACCAAAATTGTATTTTTACGTGTCTTTATTATTATAGAGACGATTTTTTCAAAAAATTTGGGCAAAACCACCGTCCAAAAATGAAAAAACACCACTTCTGGTTGACGTGGGTCGCTTAAAAACGTCTTTGCTTAATCTCAGTATTCACCAAGCTTGAGGTCAAGGTGACTGGATATTGGTCTTATTCTTATTTGCGTTTTTATAGACCGAGACGAAGTCAGCTGGAGGCCAATAAAAAACAAGAAAAATAGACTGTTCACAGTCCCCTATTTTTCCGTAAGACCGTCGAGATCGAGCGCGTTTCGTTACTGCCCGCCATCCTAGTTTTGACTGCCCTCCTCCTCGCTACACATGAAACCAAGATGGCGCCCCATAGCAAAAAGCGCTCGATGTCGACGGTCTTACATAAAAATACGGGACTTTCAGTCTACAAGAAAAAGAACGACGCCAATATTCAGCCAGCAAGACCAAACAAGCCGGCGGGAACTGAAAGATTTATTATGTGGCCAAAAAGATAACTTTTTCTTGCGGGGACAACACGGGAAATCCCGAGCGGGAAAGATGGGCCAGTACGAAACAACGCCGACCCTCTTTCAAGCAATGCAACTTGCTTAGCTCAGGAAATTTCTCAGTTGAAGTCACGTTGAAAACGTAAATCGCAGACTTGAAAAGTAGAACTTTCGTGAAATTAAATTGGTGAAGGGTTGACATGTAATATAACAAAGATTTTATAAGTTTAATAGGTGTTATACATAAACTTATATTAAAAGTAATGAAAGCATATGAAAGCATCAAGTATACAAGGTGTACAGATGTTTAATGAAATAAACTGCTGGTCAGAAATATTTGCAGGGATGTCATTTTTGCAACACGGAAACGAGCAAAGCATAACATAGCAAAAGTAACGTAATAAAGGAGACGCGCATCTATTTTCTTTGGTCCATATTTGTTTTCTTTGTCTTTCTTGATATATTTCTAAAAAAGCATTTCGTCTGGCTTGTTTAGACGAAAAGAGAAGGTAATTGATTCCTTTCGAAGGCACCTTGCGTTGTTGACAACAGTTTTTTTGTCAAATTTTGCGCAAGGCTGTCATCATTTCTGTATTTGTTAAAGGGGCAAGAATGGAGAGTTCATGGCTAAGTCAACTACGTTTTCGGTTTTACGACTGATCCTCTCAGCTCCCTTCTTTACCCAGTCTCCACCCTACTTCCACCGACCATGCCCCACCCCCGGCTTCCTCCACACACTTTTAAACAATAGATACCGTAAAATTCCGAAAATAAGTCCCGCGGCTTATATTTTTAGGGGCTTATCTACGGAGGGCAATTAGCGTTTAAAATCAATTGGGCTAGCCTTATTGTTGGAAGTAAATTTACCGTTTTTGCTTTGTTTTACTTTGAATTTGAGGGCAGTTTTCCAAGTACAAGCCCCCGGAGGGCTTATATTTGGAGGGGCGATTTAAGGGAGGGTTTTTTGCGTTAGCAATTTTTTCGGAATTTTAGGGTAGCTTAAGAATCTAGTTCACGGCAAACATTAAACGTCGACAGATTCAAGTTGATAATTTTTCAAAACAGGAAATAAGCAGAAAAAAACTGTCCCAAACTTTTCTTAAACTTGGCGTCCAGTTAGTCACGTGGTTCAATAGTTTCCAACTCTCTTAATGAGTGAGATCTGGGACCAAGAATCAACCAAGATGGCGGCTAAAAAACGTGCTTGTTGAAAACCTGAACTTTACAGTAATTTCACCGTTTGTATTGAACTTCAACACCGTGGCTCAAACGGTTAACCATTTGTCGTCGTTTAGCTCCTTTACGTGTATAGAAATGTGCTACTTCAGTAACGGGAAACAAGCTTTGACGTAAAGCAGCACAACAAGTCTGTCGGCCCGGAGGTTAAAGTAAAGGTAAGGCTCTTCTGAGTTCGTCGAAATGTAGTAGAGACTAAGATTCTTTTATTAGTGAAAGAATTTAAATTTTCCAACGGCTACATGTGTGGTGTGGTCGTGAGACAGAGAAATGGCATGCTTACACCTCCATTGCTTTTTATTATTAAACGCCGCAGACTGCAGACTTGCAGGTAAACGAAGTAAACATTGTTGTAGAATGCTGTAACAGATTCCCTTTCCCTAAACTAGTTTTTTAAATGATTTAAACTTTAGGGATAGGGATTCTGTTAAAGCATTCCACAACAAGGTTTTCCTTGTTACCAGCCAGTCTACAAGTCTGCAGTCTGCGTTTGTCACACACCAGCCTCGGGCTCTCCAGGTTGCTCTGGTGGTGGGGCGGTAAAGGGAAGGAGATCTTGCAACTACTTCTCTGGAATTTGAATTCCACCTCTAATTCCCTCTGTGGCTCCACATTGACTGATCTGTCAGATTTCGGCCAATCAGGGTGAAGCAGAAAGAGCGCAAATGTACAACTGTAAACAAACATTGAAAAACACGTGAAAGCATGCACCAAAGGTAATAATGTCATTAGTTATGTCATCCCCGCCAATTAACATTTTGCAATGACTTTTTCGATGCAGATATTCAAATTCTGGAGACGTAGTTGCAAGCTCTCCTTCTTTTTCCCGCCCCACCGCCAGAGCGCCCTGGCGAGCTTGCTCGCAGGCTATTATTAACTAACTGTTAGCTTAATTGTTGTGATGTCAGCTGCAAACCAGTAATTTGAATACCGTAAATCCTCCCTTATGTACCAGTCAATTCCAAAACTGCCCATTCATATTTGCACATCTCCCATAATAAACCTTGTTTGCCCCCCAAAACTTTGCATAACCTTTGTTTTTAGTTTCTGGTGGGTATTACGGTGATCCCAAGAGAATTGAAATAAAAGACAATGCTTATGCAAAATTTTTGGGGGCAAACAAGGCGTATTATGGGAGATATGCAAATGGTAAATTCCCCCCTCTTTGACTTTTTGGAAAAATTTGGGTCAAATTCCCCAGTTGGTTGGCAGTTTAGATGGTCAAAGGCCCCACCAAACAGCACTTCAAAAAAAGAAGAGTACAGAAACTGTACTATGAATAAAACAAGAACGCGCTTACAGCGGCATTCATGTCTCGCCTGCTTGGAGATTAGATAGAAAAATGAGGAGGCGATTAATTCTACAAGAAACATGATAATAAATAATAATGAACTTTATTAAGGGATTAGATCTGCTATAAACCCTTCGATTTGAAAAATTTATTTGTCAAATGATTAAGAATTTTGCAAAATATAAATTACACAGGCCTATTAAGTGAGAGCTGAGCTTCCAGAAAATTGATATGCGAGGTGTCAATTTTCATACTTAAGGTGTTATTTCTGACTTATATCACAGGCTCAAAAATTCAATAATTCCGTATTTCTGGCTTTCTCTCGACAGCTACAAATAACAAGAAAATAGGAACTGACTTATACTTAGTTTGTTTATTTACCTTTAAATTCTTGGCAGTAGCCAGTAAATTTTTCCAGAGATATAGAGGTGGAATTTTTTTGTAATGCCCTGTCACTTCAGGCTGCTGCAAAAATTCCAAAATATCCTTGGAATTGCCGGGAATTCATTACATTATTCCTTTACATCATGTGAATAAACCTGGCAAGTTTCAGCGCGGTATTATAAATCC